CCCTAGGTTTGTTTTGCATAACAAACCAATCTGGGACTCTAGGCACCCACGAACTTACTGGCCTAGCCGTTGAACTGCCTTTTTCTTCCTTCGAGGTCACCTTCGAGGCTGGCTGTGAAGACAATTGTTTGGTCCTGTCTCTAAGCTTTGAACCTGATTTAGGCTCTCGATGATGGTGATCATTTTCTGTCCTTCGTGAAGCTGGCCCAAGGGGCCAATTCCTGGCTTTGATCCTAAAATCTGAACTCTTCTCCAATCTTCTTTCAGAATGACTACTCTCCATTCTGTAATAGTTAGGTGACCTGGTCTCGTATAAGGGCCTCTTGCCTTTAGCATGCATTCTATCAACTGCAGGCTCAACCACTAATGGCTGCCACCTAACATTAGCCGGATACGGCCTTTTATTATAAGCGTTGGTTGGTTTGGGACGCCTCTGCACGTCCCTGTAGTATTGCTTCCTATCAACTGGAAGGCCTTTCAACCACTTATAACTCAGTCTGCACCTGGGACACATCCTTTGTATTACGGCTGCTTCTAAGGAGTCATCATCCAGTGCTTCTTCATCAGAGTCTTCCTTCTGATTTGAGAAACCTCGTCCAATAGCTGGTGGATTTCTACCGTCTTTCTTGATTGCTGTCTGGTTGGCCATATGCATCTGTACATTGACTTCTTCCAATTCTTTCAAAGACAGGTTCTGAAAGTCTGACATAATGACATTGGCTGCCACCTCTTCAATTTCTGGAAACGGATTGCTATCGATTCCCATGGCTTTTTCAGCTTTGGCTGGGAACTTCAAACTTCCCTTCCGAATTTGTTCTTGGATCTTGTCTCGGAAAACAACACAGCTTTTAGTCGAGTGAGACCAAGAATTATGCCATTTACAATATACTTTTCCTTTAAGTTCATCAAGAGATGGAATTTTAACCCCTTTTGGTAACTTAAGGAAGTTGGTCGCAAGCAAATGATCAAAAATGTCATCTGCCTTAGTTAAATCGAAAGAATATTTCCTGTGGAGATCTTTCTTTTTAAACTGCTGGTCAATTGTCGTATCCTTATGAATTAATGCTTCACAGATCATAGGCTCTTTTCCCACAATCTCTGCTGCATCAATCTCATAATTAGGATCTTTATAGTATGTCCTATATGATGCATTATTTCGATCTTGTTCCTCTTCTAGTAATGCTTCATATCTAGATACTTTGTAGGTCAGTTCCACTAAATTTCTAAACTCTGTTGAATCAAACTTCTTTCGAAGCCTAAACTCTAAGCCATTTTGGGCCAATCTTACGAATTCTGTTTCTGGCAAGATTACTCTACATTTATTTCGAGCCCTCTTAAATCTGGAAATAAACTGAGTAGCCTTCTCTTCAGGCCTTTGACTCAATCTTGCCAAGTCTGCCATGGAAACTTCTGGCTCTGATTGGAAGAATTGGGCTTGAAATGCCTCTTCCATTTGCTGCCAAGTCTGGATGGAGCCAGGTGGAAGGTTAATGTACCATACAAATGCTCCCCCAGTTAGAGAATTTGGGAATAGTCTCAACTTCATATAGTCATGATTGGTGAATTCACCACATTGAGCGGCAAACCTAGCAATGTGCTCTACTGTCGATTGGTTTCCGTTCCCATGAAAGAGGATAAAATCTGGTATCCTGAAACCTCTTGGATATTCATGTACCCTATCGACCCATTCTGGGTATGGTTTTCTATACACAGGAGTTTGGCCCCCCCGAGCCATTGGTCCACACAGAAGAACCCTCTCCACTTTCTTTCAGGTCCTTCTGGTATTGGGTGTACCTACGCTGTGCTGAACCACTACTGGGGGAACGAACATAGGATTTGGTGGACAAACTTGTGCTTGTGGTCCCCTTGGTCCATAAGGGGGTACATTTGGGACTGGCTGTCCCTGTGGTACAAGTTGCTGTTGGGGGTGTAAGTAACCTCTTTGAGCCTGTCCTATGAAAGGACCCACGAAAGGTGCTGGAACAGGTATTGTATCCATTCCACTTGTAGGGAAACCTTCCAACCCCCCGTGTATAAATTCGAATAAGGGATTATTGTACCCCTTAGTGCTAGGTATGGCTTCGAATGTGGGATTTGGAACCATTCTTATGCCATTTTCTTGTACTGGGCCAGATCCACCAATTTGCATGGCTTCACTGTTAAATATTGAGGCATTCTGGCCTGCTACAGGCCTCGAAATGGGTTCGTACCAAGACTGAGGTGGTAATATTTCATGAATTTGATTACTGGTTTGACCATTAGAATGTCCATTAGCTTGCATAGGCTGTTTATCTCTAGCCAATCTTTGCTGAGGGACATTTACTTCCTCCATGTGTCTTACATTTGTTGGTTGGTGGTTATTCATTCGATCCAAAAAGGATACTGCCCACCTTTCCATTGTGTTTATTAATTGCTGTCCCATAGCATCTACTAAGCCGCCCCATGGATTGACTGGCTGAGTAGATGGGACACTGGATGGTCCAATTCCTTGGTCTCGTCCACTATTACGAACAAATGGTATTTGCTCTGAAGTATTGGTCTGTTTGACCATGGGTTCTGATAAGATAGGAGTCTCCACAGGATGTGTTATCACATTATCCTCTGGATTGGATATCTCCACTTCTCCTTCCACGCCTTCTTCCAATCGTTCATTTTCTCCTTGTCTCCTACGTCTAGCCATTTTTTAAAGTGTCCCACTGGGCGTGCCAAAAATATATGTTGGCTTTTTGGCTTTCAAAGGTTATTTTTGTAATTATGAGCGTGCCAGCAAGGATCAATCAGTCCTTACAGAATTGTAATTGCCAAACAATTATTCAGACAATTATGTTATGGTTCTTTCGGCCTCAATAAAGAGGACTTTTACTGGTGGCTTACTGGCAATTTGACTTCAGAAAACTTGAGCATAAGAACAGTTAAATAAACTGAAGTATTTCATTAGTATGAAAAAACTTACAATGATCTTAGCTCCGTAGAGATTTACAGCGGCAATATACTTGAAAACTACTCCTACAAATGAAGTGCAGCGCAGGAACTTAAAGTACAGAAATGTAAAGAACAGAAAATAAAACTGGAATATGTAAAGTAGGACTGGTTTTCTTTAGATTTCTTTCCGTCATTTTCTCTGAAGTCCTTCCTGCTATTTATACTCTCCGAAGATAACCATCGAATTGTACTTCAAACCGTCGAACTGCTCCTCCGTGATCGCTGATCATGCTACCTTATAAGTAGTTCCACTACGCCTTCACTTGTAGTTAGGCTTCCCTTCTATATTCGAATTTGAATGTGAGCAACCGTTGAACTCACGTCACCGTACATCTCTTTGTTGATCCGCTACTACTCAGACCAATATTAACTGCCACGTGTATAATCAGGATCGAAGACCTGACTGGTCTCCCCATATTACCCTTACTTTGCCACGTGTCGAATTGTCACTGGCTAGTACAAAATATGTAGCCAACACCTGGCCTCCACTTGTGGCCCCTGCAAGCATCCTAATCTGGTAAGGGTGTGTATCAAGGCGGCATGGAATTGCAGACAAATTTGGGCTATGTAAAGTCAACACGTACTCTCCTAGCCGTGGAGATAACATCTACTCCTCTTTTATATTACCAATGAAGAGATATGAATCATCCCAACCCCATACTGCTCTCCTTTTTCAACCAAAAGAAGAGCTATATCAACAATCAATCCCATCTTATATAGATAGATACAAAGTTTTATATACAAATTTATTGTGTTAAAATGAAGATCCAAAAGGTCAAGATTAATTTATCTTGTTAAATCTTTTAATCACCAAAAGAACAACAAATCATGCACGAATATTGGTTATTTTCACACTTAGGCCTCGTTTGGGAACAGGCTAATTTAGTAACTTTTTGGCTATTTGGCTAAAAAAGTAGGTAAAAAAAACTTATATGTTTGGGATGACTTTTTGGCTAATTACGAAAAGATGTGCAAAAAGTAGAGAGAAAAGAGAATCTTTGACTTTTTGGTATGAGTTGTTGGCTTTTTGGCTAAAAATGTAACTCTTTGACTTTTTAGCTAAAATGGTAAGTCCCCAAACGGGGCCTAAGGCTAAGTTTGGCTAACTTAAAAAAGTACACTTATTTCATCTTTTTATCTTTTTTGGGTCACATCAATCAACATCTCCTCTCTACTTTTTCTACACATAATACAAAAAAAGTCAAAAAGTGTACTTATTTAGTCTTCCCAAACTTAGCAAATACTCTTAGAATTTGTATTTTGAAATTTTCACAAAAAGAAGGAAAAAGGGGCTACAAAATCTATCCAACTCCACAGTTCACAAATCATATGAATTGTAGTGTTAATCAAGTTGTCACTACTATAAAAATAATTAAAGATAACGCTTTGACAAAATATCTCACTTTAATTGAAAGTGTGATAAAAAAAAAATTAAATTGATATTTTAATCACACTTGATTTGATTAAGTGTAATAATATTTATTTTTTATCTCACTTTTTAATTAAGTATGATTATATATATATATTTTTAATCACACTTTCTAATTAATACGGAATTAAAAATCACATAAAAAATTTAAAAATATCTCAATTTTATTAAAAATATGATAAAAAAATTAAAATAATATTTTAATCACACTCAATTTAATGAGTGTGATAATATTTTTTTTAATCATACGTGTCTAAACTCTAACCTAACCACCCTATCCTTATACATATATATATACTAGCGGTTGGGCACACACGATGTGTGTGCAAATTAAATAAAGAGGAATAAAAGAAAATAATAATGAAATTAATATTATAATGTGTACTTAGCTTAAGTGGTATGAGTCTTCATACTTAAACCCATGGTCATGGGTTCAAGCCTTGTCCATCTCTTTGTTTAACTTTTTTTTTAAAAAATAAAAAAGAAGACTGCCACATGACATGAGTAGAGTAAAACAAGTTTCAGGACACCATATTATGTGTTCACTTTATAATAGTATAGATAGATAGATATATTATACAGAGGGTAAACCCTAACCTAGCACTCCCTCTCACTCTCCTGTCTCTTTATCTCTTCCGCCTCCTACGTCGTCGCCTCTGGTGGCGCAACCGGCGACCACCACTGCCGCCGCCACCACCTCCTCTCTCACCGTCCTCTCTCTCTGCGCCTATTATCTTCACCGATCTTCACTGGTCGTCTACTTCGTCTTCTCCACTCTCGTCATCGGTTCCAAAACCCTAACCCTACATTCGATGTTCTCCAATTCCTCTACAAGCCATATGTTCAAATCCAGACCCTACACTCCCCTCAACTGTTTCAGAACCCTTGTCTACAAAGGACTACCACCGGACTCGTCAGAATGGCGATCTCGAACGGGCTGATTACGATGAGAAAAATCAGGCGGCGGGGCGCATTAATGCCTCAGAAACAAAATTGCAGGATGGACAGTTCATCTTTGCCCTAATTTTTCTCTCCATTTTATGTGGTGCATTTAGGTGAGGAAAAAACTACCTCCATGAACATTAATTTATTCATGTGCATTTTCAATTTTTAGAGAATCACTTTTGTTCGTGCTCGTATTTAAGAAACATTAAAAAAAGAAGAAGAGATAGATAGATAGATAAATATAAAAAAAATAAAATTTTCATACATTTTCATCTATCATGTATATTTCTATCTTTGGAGAACCATTTGTGGCAGTATTTTTTACATTTAAATCATAAACATGTTAAATTAATTAATATACATTATACCTCATTTGTTTTAAGTTTTATTCAATATAAGTGCTGGCTAGTAGGGACGAGATAAGGATAGCTGGGGAGTTGAGGTTTCCTTCTATTATTGTAGTAGTTGATTTGCAGGATGTGGTGAATATGTTTAATGTGAATAGGGAAATGGACCAGAGTGTGGCTATTATTTTTGATGATATGATTCAGCCTTGGAGTTTGTTGATGGATTGCAGGATCTACTTTGTAAGGAAGGCTGGAATAAGACCTATTTGGTGGCTAGATTTGGGGTTAATGGGGGTGGGGAAGTATTGTATTTGAGTTAATGGTTATTTATCAAAAAAAAAAGTATTTGGGTTAATTGTTTATTGCAATGGTGTAAATGTTTTCAATTGATTATTGCTTTTAATATTCTGTCAGGGGAAAAAATTTTTTTACATTACCTTTATGGGAACCTTTTGCTGTAAGTCGGGATGCATTTTTGGGAATCTTGTATCATCTAGCATTTGTTTTTCCAAACCAAAACCACCTTCAATCAAGTGGAAAGGTGCATTTTTTAAAACAATCCAAGAATAAATGTAAGATAAAAAGAATGTGTTGAAGTTGAACAATCAAAAAAGTAACATGGAAAAGCAACTTTATTGTTTTGCATTTTCAATTTAATCATGCCATTTCTTTCTAATTGTTTTACGTATTATGATAGCCAAATCTGAACTTTTGCATTCATCTTAGGACATGGAATCTAACAGAGAGTCTTTATCCCTTTCCTAAAATAAGAATGTATCTTTCCGGATAATTTAAGCCTTTAACGTGTAAAAAATAGAAATAAATAAATAAAATAATCTTAAAATCAATAAATAAAATAATATTAAATCGTGAAGTATCTAACAATTATACTCAACCATTACATTGGATCACTCAGGTTTTTGGTTGGGGAAGCATCAAATCCCTCAATTACATTGAATCACAATAGGGAGTAGCTAGAAAGTACCCACTAACCTAATCAGAATGCTTCTGGTTATTAAAGATGCTAATTTTCACATCTAACCTATTCTAAATCGATGCAAATTCTGTTAGGCAACACAGTCTACTCTTGCAACACAAAAGGTGAAGCTATAAAAAAAAAAAAAAGAAGAAGAAAAAAAGATAAGAAACGATCAATTTATTTGTATATAATTCTTCAAACTAGGAAAAGTGTTTCATAACTCTTTATATTCAGAATTGGCCTCCTGCTAATGCATGATAAAACCTATCTCTTGCAGTAGCCTGGCCTTCCATCAGCAGCTTCAGCAGCAGCTGCTGCTAGATCATCATCAGACTTCACCTTCACCGGCAATCGTAGCAACTCATCTTTTCTATACATTTACATAGACATATCTGTCCTACAGTTGTTACCTGTTCAACTTTGATTTTTTCTTTTTTTAAATAGAAGTTACCATAGATGCTCTCAGCAAGTTGCTTGACTTTAAGACTTGTATATAGAGATTCCAATAATTGACTTGAAGCTTTAACTCCCTCTTAATCAACTACCAACCATCTCTGCTTTATTGTGAGAATCGTGGTAGCAATGATAACACACATACATGGATCTCTTTAAGCTGCTCCTGTTTGGCCATTGAAAAAGCATTTGCCAAACGCCACTTAACATAGTACTTTATTATTTATTCTTTTCGTATTATTCATCTATTTTTAGCAAATTACAGCGGCATATTGCAAAGTGGGTTTGCTATGTTCACACATAATGCTCTATCAGATTATACCCCAATTATCCATTATCCTGATGTCTCAAATTATTTTAACTACATCATGAGTTTCTCTAAACATGATAAGACGAGAGAATTGGTGACTGGGGATTTGATCTATGTTTTATCATTATAAGCTAGTTTACATCATCTTTGATTGAACCACCATAGAATTTGCATATGACCTTACTCTGATGTTGATTTGTAAGAGCAATCCTTCACAACTTTTTTCTTTGAATTCAAATTTATAGTTAAAAAAATATCTTTTCTTGAAACTTATGGTAAATTAAAAAATAATTTTTTTTATGAAATTAAGAATGAATCAAATCATTAAATTTTAAGAATTATATTTTGTTCAAATTTAGTAAAATTTTAAAAACCATAATTTAATTCAATTAATTCAATTAATTTGTTTATTTTAATTCAATTAATTTAATTCAATTAATTTCCTAGTTATTTTAATTTCCTGGTTATTCAATTAATTATTTTAATTCAATTAATTTGTTTAATTCAATTAATTCAATTAATTTGTTTATTTTAATTCAATTAATTTAATTCAATTAATTTCCTAGTTATTTTAATTTCCTGGTTATTCAATTAATTATTTTAATTCAATTAATTTGTTTAATTCAATTAATTCAATTAATTTGTTTATTTTAATTCAATTAATTTAATTCAATTAATTTCCTAGTTATTTTAATTTCCTGGTTATTCAATTAATTATTTTAATTCAATTAATTTGTTTAATTCAATTAATTCAATTAATTTGTTTATTTTAATTCAATTAATTTAATTCAATTAATTTCCTAGTTATTTTAATTTCCTGGTTATTCAATTAATTATTTTAATTCAATTAATTTGTTTAATTCAATTAATTCAATTAATTTGTTTATTTTAATTCAATTAATTTAATTCAATTAATTTCCTAGTTATTTTAATTTCCTGGTTATTCAATTAATTATTTTAATTCAATTAATTTGTTTAATTCAATTAATTCAATTAATTTGTTTATTTTAATTCAATTAATTTAATTCAATTAATTTCCTAGTTATTTTAATTTCCTGGTTATTCAATTAATTATTTTAATTCAATTAATTTGTTTAATTCAATTAATTCAATTAATTTGTTTATTTTAATTCAATTAATTTAATTCAATTAATTTCCTAGTTATTTTAATTTCCTGGTTATTCAATTAATTATTTTAATTCAATTAATTTGTTTAATTCAATTAATTCAATTAATTTGTTTATTTTAATTCAATTAATTTAATTCAATTAATTTCCTAGTTATTTTAATTTCCTGGTTATTCAATTAATTATTTTAATTCAATTAATTTGTTTAATTCAATTAATTCAATTAATTTGTTTATTTTAATTCAATTAATTTAATTCAATTAATTTCCTAGTTATTTTAATTTCCTGGTTATTCAATTAATTATTTTAATTCAATTTTCTGGTTCTTGAAAATATTTATATTTTTGTCTATATCATTTATTTTAAAAAAATATCATTTCTGGTCGCCTCGCTTCGATGAAGCCCTCGCCTCGCCTCGTCGCCTCGCGCTTAGGCGTTAGGTGACCTTGTCGCCTCGGTTCGCTTTTCGCCTTAAAAAACACTGATCTTTATCATGTTGGATAGGATGAGGTTTGAAAGGTTCCATAATTGTGGGGTTGTCCATTGTCTAGGGCTTAGAATTAGAAAAAAGTTGCAGAGATTATTTAGATGTAATCACTTTTTCTTTCATAATTGCTCTTCTGTTTTTACATTTCTGTTCTGTCAGATAATTTGTGCTCTTTGCTTCAATCGTAAGTTTTTTAAAGGATGCTCTCATTCCTCTTCCTTGTCCTTTACCTGTTCTAGTTTTAAAGAAATTTTGTATAGAGTGGATTTGCTGAGTATAATGTTCCCCTCTAATGGAAAATGAAGATCAAATATGTCCCATGTAGCTCAGATCAGAGTTGGCCTTTTGGGCTTTGCTATTCCAAATCTAATTCTTGTACCTATATCAAATTTTAACACTGCTAACTGCACCATTGTGCTGCAGAATATCAGCAACTTTAGCATGGGGTACTCAGAATTTTTTCTTATAATTTTTTTCTTATTAATATAAAATAGCTCCTATGGCTGGTCATATAGCTTTCCAAATACCATGAATTAGTTACCACTGACCAGAAAGTGAGCTTTCGACTAATTAACCATCCATGTGGATCTACTCTTATCAGTTGTTCTCTCTCTCTCTCTCTCTCTCTCTATTAATTTTTCCCTTGGAATTGAATGTACAAATAATTAGAAAATTGTTTCTTGTTTCTTCTAACTCTCTTTTCCAGGTTCACTGGCAAGAAACTCTATGAGGCTATGTCGCAGGAGTATTAACAACTCAAAGAGTTCTAATTGTTTCAGCAGATCTAGATATATTGGCTAGCAGTTCTACAAAATTTGATAAGGAACTTCCTTTAATATCCTTAGATGGAAAACTTATTTCATATTGGCTACTTTTCTGATAGTTACACTTTTTGTTATATGACATGGTTAATAGTTATTAAAATTGTTTGGGTCTCTAACCTATGATTACTTTAGATCACTTCTCTGGGTTGGACCTGCACTTCTATTTTCAACTGCCACTGCAATCAGCGTGCTTGGGTGGGATGGAAAAGTGAGGACAATTCTTTCTATTAGGATGCCCAATGCAGGTATCATACATTGTTTCAGTTAGTTAAAATTTTTACTTTCATATTTGAGGTTCCTCAGCATCATGTTATTTTCTCTACTCTTGTTTGATCTATATATCAACAATTGCAGCTTTGTACTATACCACTGCTTTTCTGAGCCATCAAGATGAACTTCTGTACAGTGCTGTTTGGTGCATTGAATGATCGATTGTTGCTTGCAAACCTAACAAAGATAAATCTGAAACAGAAAAGGGGGTTTAGATAAAGAGCTGTCTTGTTGGGCTTCTCGAACCTCTTCTTATTGGATTTGCCACAATGTAACAGAGTTTTGAGCAGAAACTAGACTTGTCAGAAATATTGTATCAAATAACATCCAGGTTTTCCTTTCCCCTACTAGTAGGCATGTGTTTTGTCACATATACAACTCCTTTGGATATTCAACACTTGTTGGATTCTGTTATCCTTTTCATTTCTATTGTTTGGCTTATAAAGATTATTTAAAAAGCACTATCAATGTAGATTATTTCATTAAGAAGCATCCAGTAAACTAAAAGAAAATTAACATAGGAAAGGCAGCTTAGAACAGAATTCAAAATTGATGTGTTCACTTGGGTTTGTTTCTGGAAATTCTTCTGCCATTTCTATCTGAAAGTAGAGTCTTGCTGTATTCTTTATTTATTTGTTTTTCTTTTTGGGTCTTTGTGTGTGTGTGTGAGAGAGAGAGAGAGAGAGAGAGAGTTTTGCTCTGCCTTTTCTAGCATTTTGTGCTCTGCATGGCTGCACTGTGGTCTCTGTGAACATCTCTTGGTCATTTTGGTTGTGTTTTAGCTCTCTTAATACCCAGCTAGCTTTGTTTTGGGTCTGTGACATCTAATGTTGTAGACTCTTGGCGTATTTTTTGTGTAACCTTTTTCTATTTTAGCCTCTGAGACATTACTTCTGGAATTCCTTTTTTCCCTTAATTTGTGCAGTAGCCTAGGATTAGAAACACTCAGGATTATGCAAAATCTCACACACATTATAGGTTTTTCCTTTAATTTGTGCAGTAGCATATGATAGCATGCTCAAAGTACTGATTGATATATTACACATTTTTATGTGCTTGGGAATTAGTCAATATGAGTGGAGTAGTGGTGCTAGTTAATGAGGTTTAATGAGTGGAGTAGTGGTGCTAGTTAATGAGGTTTAAACTAACTTGTACAAGTATTGCAAGTTCATTTCATAGTTACAGAACTATGTGACACATGCTTGAAGTACTGATATATTGCACATTTTATGTGCTTGACATTAAGTCAATATAAATAGAGTTGTGGCCTGTGAGTGCTATTCATGGATGATAGGGATTTGAATAGCCTGATGATGTATCACTTTCTTTTCTTTTTGCTAGTGTAAAACATAGGTTACCAGCTCCTCATTCATGTCATATTTTGCGTAATATGGCTTACTGTAATAATAAGTGTGTTAATGTGATAGGATTAGAAACACTCAGGTTTAAATCATACAGGTCCATGGCCTAGTCAATTCGTGATCTTCAAGATGTAACAGGAAGTATAGTTTCATGGCCTAGTTAATTCATTCTTTTAGACTAAATATTAGACTAATTGATTTACGATTTGTAGTTATACTTTTTGGATGTTTAAAGTCGTATTTTAGAGATTAGTGAATCTTATAATTTGGGTACTTTTTTTGGTTTGTATGTTTGAGGTTGTTATGAGCTTGATATGATAGAAGTTGAGGATGAAAGTTAATATGCAGGTTGTTTGGTGTATGGATATTTGATTTTTTTGCTTATTTTATAGTTAGTTTATTCATATGCTTTTAGTGGTTTCTGAATTAATTTTTATTTTTATTTTTCAGGTTAGAAATTTCTTGGAGAGATGCAAAATATGGTCAAAGAATTCAAGAACTTAATTTTTCAAGTTTTTTAATTTTTTAATATATGTAAGCACAGTTAAATTTTTTATTTAATTCCTTTGTATATACTTTTGAAAATATTTAACTTTTATTTATAAAATATTTAACTTTTATTTATGAAATATATGACGTTATTTCATTTAATATGGTTGTGATTCAAAGTATAATATATAGTGTGTATTACATTATTGAATTGTGCATACAAAAATAATATTAATTATTTTTCAAATATGTCGAAGTTGAGCAATTAATTAGTATCTCCATTAAAATGGCAACAATGATTTAGACTACTAAAAAATACACCACTAATAGCACTAATGTATTGGGAATGGTAAAGAAAAAAAAAAGAAAAAAGGCATAGAAAGTAGGCGGGTCCTAGTGCTCCTTCTAATGCTCCATTTTTAGTGCTCCCAAGCATTTTTCTCAAAATAGCGGTAAATAGAAAGAAAACCTACCTAGAACCCAGAGCAAATAAGCTGAAGTGCAATTAGAAGTTGAGCATCAACACATTTTTAGCTCATGTTTTGACTTTCACTAATATGAATTTTCGTTTCTTTTCTTTTCTTTGTTTATTTATTTATTTTTGGTTTTCAGTAAAGTTTAATAATAAATTGTGAACATCTTAACTTAAATTCAGAGTATACATACTTGAAATAGAAAAACATTTAAGCTGAAGCCCCTTCAAAAATTATACACCATCTTAAAAGTATCATCACCAGCTTTCTCGAGTGTTAATTTGTGACCTTAAAAGAAATGGTAGACTTAAAACCTAATGTAATACCCAAGACATGCATATAACTAATATATGAAGAGGTTAACTTTGTAATTTCAAAAAAATTAGGTTAATAACTTCATTAGGTTTTACAGTTATTCTCAAAAAATCCAAAGAAGGGGATCTCTTGAGGGTTCCAACAAAAGAGGTTGAAGAATCAATTCTTGGTACTAGGTCAATCTATTTATTCTTTAAGCTAAGAACTCTAGTACAACCTCTCCTTTCTATTATTTATTGTATGTCAATTTGGGGCTAAATTTCTTTAGGGTTTGGCTAGAACCCACAGATTATGTATGATGTTTGGGTAGTTTTTTTGGCGATTAACCCGTGAGAAGTGCCTGAGGTAGCGGAGCATGGCAACATTTGTACCTTGCTTGGGTCGGTGCAGGAAGCAAGGAGCCAAGGTGTGTTGTGTGGGATTCATATCACTTGCATGCATATATGGCTGGTTGGATATCATAGAAACTAGAGTTGAGAAAAAAAAGAAAGAAAGGAAGAAAAAAAGAAAAAGGAACTTATGAACGAAATTGCTTAACCAAACTGGTGTGTGTATGGGCATTAATATTAATCAGCAAAGGTGATTGGATTATTATAAGTGGGTATGAGTTAAGGACATTTGCAAGACCTGAAGTAGATAGAATAGATGACTGTTGTGGATAATGAACAATCCTAGACTTTGCACAAACACTTATTAGGCAATGTTTTCTTTGATAATTATTGGGGAAATTATATATAAGTGTAAATTTAGAAAAATAATTACGGATTAGTAGTCAAAGTTTATGAAAATTAATAATTAAAATTATAAATTTTTAATGTATTTATAATTTTTTTACTTATTTATTTATAAATACACTGGAGTGTAATCCTTCCATAATTATTTATGTGGTGTTATATTTATTAGGACAATGAGATTGAAGTGGATCGTGGTATTTTGAAGTTAGTTTTGGGATTCTTTTAGCACTTGAGGTAAGTGACCCCCTACCACTGTCAGTGTTTTAGCCTCAATGTTCTACCTGCAAAATGCTTCTTTGAGTGAGGTCGAGGCCAATTTCTTCACTTGTTTTTTTGTTGATAATAAAAAATATTTTTCATTAATTTTCGTTTTCCATTATTCCAAACACGAGAAAATACAAACTACGCAAAAGGTTCCAATCCTAGATCTTCAATATGGGAAACAATATCTTTACTACTTAATAATAGCACACAACATATTCATTTTTAAATCAAAATTAAAATTTATATTTTACAAATTTAACAGCACACTCATCAAGTAGACACACACTCACTAACATATATATACATTCTAATATTTGATATTGTATCTGCAACTTCCCAGCATTGTGTAATGCATCAGCTTGACCAAAATTCGCCCTAGCTCCAAAAAGCTATGCCACTTGGATCAAATTGAAATGCACCGCAACTACATGACACAAATCAAATATTGCTACAATTACTGAATTTCCTGAGCATATTGGACTTGACATGCATGTCACCCAAATATATTTTGAAAACCATGTATATGCTGATTAGATAGCTTCAATTAATGTATGATAACAATGAAAAAAAAATGAAAACAATGAAAACACATTCGGTGTTGCTCAATTTGAATGGGAAGGATTCTCTCCCATCCACAATTTTACGGGTGTTGTTGGGATTTATAGAGCCACCGCATATCCTATTTTGATAATTTAAAAAATAAAAAATAAAAAAATAGATTTATTATATTCATAACTATATGATTTCATTATATTTGTTTAAAAAAACGAATGACAAGTATAATTTTGAAATTGTCCATTCATTTTTTTAAAGACCAATATGAAAAAAATTATATGGATATAAATATTGCATTAATCTAAATTTTATCCTAAATGATCTACACAATTTTTTTTTTTATACAAATTGTACGATTCAGATCATCAAAATAAGATCTATAATGTATCTTACGAACCGATTATCACACTTGTAATTCAATAGCAAATTAGACAAAACATTTTCCCATATTAATAATAGAAAGCAAAACATAAAAGAGGGCTTGTTTTCTTCAAATATTAAGAGAGACCTATGTAATTTACTCTAAACTGTACAACCAAAAACATATTTGTTTTATTCATTATTTGAGATCAGAGGTAGAGAGGAATATAAGTGTTTAGTTGTAAAGGGTGAGCTGTCTAGTAAGTGTGAATAAGAAAAAAATAGGGGTTAGTTGTACCATTCAAATTTTTTAAATTCTTAAATTATTTTTTTTACCCATTAGATTAAATTTTCACTATTGCTGATTTGCGGATATCGTATCCAATATGAACTGAAATAAGAAACAATAAATGGATGCAACTAATAAATTAGGAATGAAGTAACAAAAACGTGACAATAGTTTACTGTATAACAAAATATGAAAATGTATTGAATTTTAATATATATATATATATATATTTGTATTTGTATTTTTTTTTTTTGTGTTTGGTGAATTTTTTATTTTATATTTTATAAATATTATACTTTTTAAGTGTATCTAAATTAGATATATTTAATAAATAAAAATTTTGCGTAAAATATTTAAAAAAATTCACTAAAAAGGAAAAAAAAAAAACTCAATTTTTTGAAAAGTGAATTAAACCAAACAAGGTAAACATATTATTTTTTTATTCATATAACTAATGAATTACTAATAAAAATAAACTATGTGTTAACCCACTATAATTAGGAGAGGTTGGTGTAAATTTACCTAACCAAGCAGTCATTTTCTTATTCATTATTTGAAGTAGAGAGAAATCTGGGTTTTTGGTGGTCTAAATTGTAAAATTATTTTTTTTAACCATCAGATTAGATTTTTAGCATTAATGATTTGGACAAATAATCTCCCATATGAACTGAAATCATGAACAATAAAGACTAAATAGATGCAATTAATAATTTAAAAATGAAGTAGAAAAAGTGACTATAGTTTAGGGTATAAAAGTAAATTTAAAAAGAAAATGAAAAACTATTAAAAAAGTGTCCAAGTCTTGTTCCTTTTGTCAATTGCAGCCATTAGAGTCAATAACAAACCTTTATTTTCACCACTCATTTATTACGTCCATGATTTTATTTTTTAATTTTTCGCGTGATGATTTCCAATCAAGTGCTTTGTATAAACATCAAAGGAAATAAACTAGCTTTATTATGCATGATACAATAAACTGCTAAGAAACTAAAAATAGACTAGATAACAACCATAACCAAGCCATAATTTTTCATAATCAAGCAAAAGGATGCAGAAATTCATTGTGACACTTACCAAAGGACATCATTTGCATTGGCTAATTTCACCTTCCTCTGTTCTTGTGAGCATGCTTTTTAAATCTCTTTCTGCTTTCGTTTCGTTCACCTTCAATGATCCTCACAAGCAATTGAGGTTTTCCTCTAGAGAACATAAGATATCCCATAACAAGTCCCCACACAAGCCCACATATATAACCTGGTAATATGACTTCCCAATTGAATCCACTTGAAGTATTGTCTTCTTGTTGAAACATCAAGGGTGGTGGTTGTGGTGTCCTTGGATTGCATGTATTAAGCAATGGAGGTCCACATAATGCCAAGTTGCCAATGTAGGAGTCATTTAAAAATGTATTAAATTGGTTGCCTTGTGGTATTGGCCCTATTAGTTGATTCTGCGAAAGGTTCAAGACTTCAAGGGATATCAAATTCCTTAGTTGTTGAGGGATCTCCCCAGTGAGTTTGTTGGAAGAGAGATCTAACCACTCAAGCATTGTCAAATTAGCAAGAGATGCTAGTATATGACCTGTAAGGCTATTATGAGATAAATTGAGCCCTTGGATTGAATTTAGCCTTCCAATGATTTCTGGAATCTCACCTTCAAAATTGTTTTTTGATAAATCAATGGCAATGAAAATGGTTAAGACTTTTTCCATTTTAGTGGTTGATCCTTTGATTACCATAGTCAAAAAATCATGATAATAATATATAGCATCAGCCCCATGTATCTCTATGTATTGCAATTGAAAATTGGCTTCTTTGACATTCATCATTGCATTGAAATTCTTGAAATATGTTTTTGGAAGTGGACCAGTAAAATAATTGTCTGACAAATCCATAACTCGCAAGCTAAGGAAGGGAAATTTGGCTTTGGAAGTTGGCATAGGTCCATGGAATTTGTTAGATCTCAAAATTAGAACTTGCAACCAATGTAGTTTTTCCAACCAATATGGGAATTTGTCAGAGAACTTGTTACATCCAAGATCTAGCACTCGTAGCATTTTGCAATTGACTAAAGATTTTGGTACTGTACCCTCAAATCCATTTCCATTAAGGTTGATAGTTTTGAAGGAATTTCCCTTTACAAATGTATTAGGAATTGTGCCAGAAAAATTATTCTTCCGCAGATCGAGCACAAAGAAATATGTGCTGAAGTTTCCTAAACATTGTGGAATAGAACCATTAAAGCTATTGCTAGACAGGACAAGAAATCGAAGGGAAATTGCATGACAGAGCATGTCTAGGTCACCACTGAAGTTATTTGATGAAAGAAGGAGAGCAGTAAGGTTCACGAGTTTGAAGGTTGAACTTGGAAACCTACCATGAAAGTTGTTATTTCTCAAATCAATAGTAGTTAAATGAGTGGATTTGAACTGTTTTACATGGCCAGTCAATTTGTTATTACTGATGTTGAAGCAATGCAATGCTGGTAAGCTGAAGACCCAAGATGGAATTGTGCCGTTGATTAAGTTATCAGCTAAATCCAACCACCATAGATTTGGAAGTCCAATTATTTGTGATGGAAGAGGTCCTGTTAACTGAGTAAATTAATAAAGAAGAAATTGAACCAATATATAAATAAAGAAGACTTTTTACATTAGGTAAAAAATCTGCGATTTTACCTTCAAACTTATTACCCCGAGCTGCCAAGTAGACGAGATTTCCCAGGTTTGAAAGTGAAGATGGGAGCATGCCAGTGAAATTGTTTTGTCCGATTTCTAATTCAATCATTTCCGTAAGGTTTCCGAGCGACGTAGGGATGGATCCATAAAATTTACAACGACCGGCATACAACGCTGTCAAGGACTTCAAATTCCCAATTGAGTCGGGTAGTTCTCCAGAGAAATTAGTGACTGAAAGCGCCAAGTACTGGAGAGGACTGCTCGAGTTTATAAACTCGGGAAAATAACCAGTGAGAGCAGGATTATCCCCTATCCACAACTCATTCAGATGTGGTAAATGGAATATTCCGTCAGGAAATTTTCCAAGCAATCCACACGAACCAAGATCGAGAAGTGTTAAAGAAGTCAGATTGAGCAAGGAATTCGAAACCACTGAAGATATGTTTACACTATCAAGATTAAGATCTCTTACCTTGGTTAAGTTTTGAACAAGTAATTCAAATCCCGGTTCTTCCAACGTCAAACCATAATTGCAAGAGAGATCAAGCGAGACCAATTTGCTCGGAAAGGAGACTTCTATAGGGACTTTGCCAGAAAAACTAGAGCCAGAGAGGTTGAGGTGTGTCAATCTGGTGAATCGACTAAATTCAGATGAGATTCGAGACATACCAAAGTCATTGAAAGCGAGGTTGAGCCTGTGGAGATGAGGAAAGTAGTAGAAGATGGTGCTATTGGGGTGGATGGTGCCGTTGAGCCAGCTGCAACTGAGGTCGAGGCCAATTACTTGACTTGTGTTGTTGTCACACTCGACCCCATCCCATGAGCAACAATCAGAACCCTCCTTCCACGACTCCGTCTTCGGGTAAGAATGGATTCCGGAAAGATCACACTGAAAGTAGGAAGCATATTTATAGAAGGAAAATTGTTGCTTAAATTGGAGCAATGCAGAGGTCTGTTGTTGAGTGCAGAGTTGGGCATGCAAACAAGTAATCTGGAATAAACAAAGAAACAAAAAGAGGTGAAAGAGTTGATTGTTAGAGGCCATGTTTGCTCCTAGATTCAAAAACAAAGGTTGTAATGCTTGCTGACTGTTAACAGGGGAGAGGCCAAATGCTCTTATAGGCAAATGTAGGTGCAATGCAAAGCCTACAAACAAGTAAAGTGAGTTAGACTAGTCAGTCTTCATTGATGTGTACACAGCTGGACTCCATAACTTTTCACTCGTCAAGGAAGACTTGGCTTTATAAATGTTGAGCATAGCTGCAATTTACAATTTATTATAAATTAAAAGTTAATAATTAAAAAGTTAAAATAAAAAGTATTCTTTCTCTAACTTTTAAATAATTAATTTTTTTAATTTATTTAAATTATTATAAAAGTGTGACAAATTATCATGTTTTTTACTTTTTTATGTATTTTGAAATTACTCTCCTAAATTTATTAAACATTAATAAAATCACAGACAACCATAGACATCTTTTTAAATTCAAACAACTTCAAAAATCAAACACCTTAAAATAACCAAACACCTTGAAACATCACAATCTACTATCAATCAAACACCATGGATGTTTCGGATCGGTTACCTCATGGAATTTACATGATCCTTAACATCAGTAGATAAACTATTCTAATTTTTTTAGATGTTGATCTACTCTCCACCATGTTCTTGTCTTCTTCAGAGCTCTACTTGTTTTTCGGGTATGTTTTGTTTTATCTTCTTTCTCATCTCTACCTCAAACCCTCCTCTTTCTGTTTTTATTTTTTTTTTATTTTTTTTTATTTATACATTGTTTAGTTTTGATCATACAAAGATATATATATACGCATATATCATGTTCTTGTAAAACAATTGATTTTATCTGATTTACTAGAACAATGCAAGTAAATTTTATATTATTACTAGCAGTGGGTGCAAACACGATGAGTTTGCAATTGTAGGTCTAAACTTTACGATGGTTTGATTAATGAGGAAGATGTTTTAATAATTTCACTACCATGCCCTATTCAATATTTGTTTCATTCACTACCTTCTCATTTTTTTTTTTTTGATCAGCCAAAAAAGAATTTTATTGATGAATATTCAAGCAACTAGAGAAGATATATCAATAAAGAGGACAAATGCAAAAAGCGTCACAGCAGACCCATGTCATCCCAACAAGGTTGGCACCGCGAGGGCTACCCGGTCATATGCTAGCACCCCTTAAATGTTTGTGAGAAACCAACAAACACAGAAAATGGAGAAACAAGTTGAACACACATTCAGATCAAAACTCTATTGTGACCACCCCAACTTCAAATCAAAACTCTACTCCCCAAACACATCCTGATCTGCCTCAGATTGAAAATAAAATCTTGAACTGAAAAGTTGAACACTTTTAAGAATGGTTTCATCCACAAAGCAGTCCTAATCTTGATCAACTCACATAGCTTTGTCATATTCAAATCAAGAAAAATCATGAAAATATATCAAGAAAATAAATATTTTTGCAATGATATACTCATCTGTAAGAGTTTCAGCTTTTAATATTAAAAATATTATCTCTTTCTTGCCTATCGCTTGATAATATATTAGTTGATTAACTCTTGTTTGATTGTAACAAGATTTTTATTTGTAAGAATTTCAGCTTTTAATGTTAAAAACACTTAAAGTTCTCATTATTACTACTCTTTGTTTAATTTTTTAATTTAACTGTATAAAAAAAAAAAATCTAACTGCTCTCCTATGCAACAACAAAATTATCAAAATTGTTCATCAAAAAATATTTCTCATATCACTAAAAATCATTAATTCACTTAATAATTTATTTACAAAAAGAAAATGAATTATTAATATTGCATAAAAAATTTTAATTATTAATATTGCATACAAATCAAAAAATAAATTTTAAATTAAAATATTAAGATGTATAAAATTTATAATCATCCTTCATTTAAATATTAAGATGTATAAAGTGTAGTTTGAAAGAAGTTTTGTATTACAATTTTGGAACCACGTGAAATAAAATTTATTTTGAGATTTCTACGAAAATAATAGTTTAAAAGAAGTTTAATACTCCAATTTTGGAATCACACGAAAGTGAATTTTTGGGGCTAGCGAATGATTACATTACTATGATGTAATGGAAGTTGCGTATAAATCAATCCAAAAAATTGAAAAGTTTACATTTTTTATTTATTTTTTAATAGAGAGGACATAATTTATAAATAAAGAAAAACAAAATATAAAACGGTAGTAAGATTTAAAAGATGGTATTACGTTGGGTCCCTAGAAACTTCATTAATGTTTAAATTTTATTAATGCGGATTCAAACAAATGGAATTCCATTAAAAAAAATAATAATAATAAAATAATAATAAAAAAATAATAATAATAATAATGATAAGCAGGGACTGTAAGCGCCACCCTAATATAATACTACTATACTAGTTTTCTCCATTATGGAGTGTGAAATGCTCTATGAAAAAAAAAAAAAAAATCCAATAATCATATTTAAATAATTTTTTCATATGTATTTATTTTTTTAAAATGAATGACAACTGTTTTTTAAGTTAAATATAAAGAAATTATATGATTATAATTATCAAATCAATTTCAAATTTAAAAAATGTTATGGTGCGAGACATTCACCCAAAATTTTTTGAGTGGGTGATTATGTGGTGAAGATTAAATTTGTGTAGTGTGAGATTTATGTGTAGAATGAATATGAACCACAAGATAATAATTTTAAATAATTTTTGAGTAATTAATTTTAAATTTATAATATTACTGTTAAAATTTTAACTAAATATAACTTAATAGATAAACCATCCAAATAATTAAAATTAGATCCGCAGCAAACATCACATATTCAAATAACATTCTCCAATATAAAAAGAAGACTAAAGAGGATCTTTCCACCCTAGAGCTTTTCATAAAGTATGAAGAGGATCTTTCCTGCTCCGATTTTCCATAAAATGTGTTTTACATGTCATATCTCGCTCAATGCCGGCCTTATTGGTGAAGTGCTCATTGATGAGTGAAGCACGTTTTGGTTAATAATAAAATTATATATATCAATTGATATATTAATAGATGATTTAATATAATTTTAGAGATTTTAAATTTTTATAGTTTGAATAATGGATGAAATCTATAATTATTATCTTTTTGAGACTAAATTTTTTGTCTAAAAAAATAAATCATTCTGAGATTAAATTATTTTGTCCCTAAAAGTCTATTTATTAGTGACATTTTTCAAAATTTTGTCGCTAAAAGTCTTATTTTAGACTTTTCGAGATGACTTTTTAACGACTATCCTCATGACGATAGAAATTGATCCCTAAATATATTTTGTAACAAAATTTTACTTTTAAAAACTAAAGTATTTAATTTTTAAAACTCTTATTTGTTGTAGTGGAAACAAGCGTTTGGAAAAAGATAACCAAGGACATAATGACCACAGCTCACTTCACACAGTTTCCCATTGCATGGGTCACCGGTGACATCATTTGTAAGAATACAAAAGGAATAATAGCATGATACTTTCAAGTAAAGTTGATCAAATATATATGTATATATACATATTTTTTTTGAATTCCAATTATTGTTTTTTCGCTAGAGAATGGACTCAAAAAAATAAAAATAAAAATAAATGAAAAAAGAGAGTGATTATCATGTCGACAAAATGACTGTTATCACTGAATATCCATTGGTAAAACTGAAGTTTATTGTTGGATTATTTAATTTCTTAACCTTTTCCATCAGTTTCGTTCAGCCCAGCGGTTCTAAGAATGATAGATCATGTGCTTGGGTTTTCAATTTCATTGGATAGGGGTGGGTGTTCAATTTGATTTACTAGGGTTGAGTGTTTATTTTTTAGTATTATTTTTGTGAGGGTGTGTGTTTTATTTTAATTTATGTCTATTATAATAATTTTAATTGAATCTATAATTGTCATTAAAAAAAAAAACTATCAATAGGCAGGGGTCCTTAAAAAAATGGTGAGGGTTATTAGTGTCATCCTATTGATTATCAATAACATTTTATTATTAAAACTAGTGATTGACATATACGATGCGTATTAAATTTAAATAAGTAAAAATAAAATAAAATATTTACTATATATTGTATGTCAATCAAGTGGTAAAATTTTTCTTGAGCAAATCTAAGATCCAAGGTTTAAGTCTCATTTATTTTTTGTTTTAATATGTGGCATAAGTATTATTAGTTAGCACACGTAATGTGTGTACAATTCAAAGAAATAAAAGAAAAATAAATTATTTACTATATCATATGTTGTGTGTTAGTCGATCGGTAACTTTTATCTAATTTTTTGTTTTATATATAGTAAGTATAAATATAGATAGGTAGAAGATAGAATGAGGAAAAGAAATTGGAGAAAAAGCTATCACTTGGGAAAGTTTTCCTGAGAACGTGTTTGAAGCGTCAATTAAGAATTATTGACACCACAAAATGTGAACATATGGAAAGTTTTCATGACAACGTGTTTGAAGCGTCAATTAGGAATTTTCGACACCACAAAATGTGAACATATGGAAAGTTTTCCTGACAACGTGTTTGAAGCGTTAATTAGGAATTATTGACACCACAAAATGTGAACATATGAAAAGTTTTCCTGACAACGTGTTTGAAGCGTCAATTAGGAATTATTGACACCACAAAATGCGAACATATGGAAAATTTTCATGACAACATGTTTGAAGCGTCAATTAAGAATTATTGATACCACAAAATGTGAACATATGGAAAAAGACTACATGGAAAAAGTATGAGCAGTGAAATAAAATAAAAAAAACAAATTAACCACTGCCGTGTTACATGATGATAACAAACACTTCAACATACAAAATATAATTTTGCGTCATTTGCGCCTAAAGCTCTTGAGGCCTGAAGTATTTTTCTTTTTACATTGTATTTTTTTTTGATATTATAATTTTTATTTAAAATTCATAACATTCTCAATCAAAATAATTTTATTTATTTATATTGATACTAGCGTAAAACCCGTGTTATGCACGGTCTTAAACAAATAATTAAAATTTTATTTTTGAATTTAAATAGTAACAATTTTAAAAGTTAAAAGTAAAATAGTTAAAATAATGTAAATTAAGTTGTTTTTGAACTATACTCAAAAGAAGTTTTAAATCAAAGGGGTTGGCTTAGTGGAT